GAAACAACAGAGGTATTGGTGGTTCGTTTAGTTTGCATTATTCGTGTCTGACAGTCAGCAGAATCTGTTAGGTAAACTCCGTGGTATTCATTTGAGCATTCGGCCTGAATGAACGGATCAGCTCCCCATCCTCGCTATTCAAACCTTTGCTCATTCGAGGCGAATGTTCAGATGAATACCCCGTCTAAACAATACATAGTATGCTCGAATGTATACACTCTTGACGTATGTGTACACTGTTAGTACACCGCCCGATACTTCGAGTTTAAACCGCGTCCAGTAGGATAAATATCCCGACGACGTCTCGTCAGCATTGTAGCTATCCTCATTAAAAGACCGAGTACATTGACCGAGTACATCGAGATAATTTAATCATAAAGTAAACTAAGCCTTATTCCACAGAGTGGGCAATTTAAAAATGACTTACCTCAGGTAGACACCAATGATCAATGGTGGCCTGTCCTGTCTCGGATCGGTAGCCTTGGTGGGATGCAGAAAGGCGGGAACGTGCAACCTGGAGCGCGGATAGAGGGGTCCATGGGGCACTAGCAAAGTCAGCGAATCGCCCTCCTTGAGTTCCTTGTAATCAGCTCGATTCGGGGCCAAAGGCACTTGCCCTAGCGGCGTGACGGGCTGAATTTGCACTCTGGGTCTGCAGAAACCAGCCCCGCTGTCGACGGAGCCTGCCTCCTCTGTTCGCGGCTCGAGCACCGAGTAAGCGACCTGCACGAGCCTTGGCAGGCTCTTGGCGACCTTGACCCGACCGGAAGCATCGGGAGGCGGTAACGGTGCCCACCAATCGGCGGGTATGGTGATCTGTGCCAGACAAACACCGTTCTCTCCATCGGGGCTGCAGGCTGCGGTAAGCGCGGATGACGAGGACGAATAAGGAGACGAAGAAGAAGAGTAACTTCTACCGTTGCTTCTGTTCGCTGTGCTCCTGGACGGAGATGCCAGACTCGCGTGCAGAACCACGCAGACCCTCTGATGTCGGGCCAGTAGCAACTGGCGCCTTCCGCCTGCTTCGCTTCCGGCATGAAAGAGTACTCTTAGCACCGGTGAATCACGCGGCACGCTGTTTCCTACCAGATGAGCGGACATGTCCAGGTGGCGTGCCCCTAACTCTTGCGCGTCCAGAATCGTCGCAGCCGTCAGGTTTCGCCTGGTTTCCGGACCCGGAAGCGCGTCCAACGGGTCCGGAACTATGTAGCGAGCCGGTACGGTCTGCTTGGTGCTAAACGGGCCATAAGTAGCTCTCACCGAGACCGGCTCGCTCGTTTGAAAGACCGTGAACTTGTCTATCGAGAGGACGGAACCAGGCGGTGCCGATGGAACTCCACCGTTCCCGCTCGACGTCGATCCCGTCGACGGAGATATCGCTGGAACCGAATCTCCTCTAACAGGATAGTATTGCCTCGGTGTGTGTTTCAGGAAGAATCCGCCGTCTTTGTTCTCGAAATGAACCTCCACCGAGGCTGCCACGTCTGAAACGAGAAAAATAAAAGTTTCCGTTAGAGTCGGAGACCACACGGCACACGATCGTATACATTGGTAGGTGTGTTGAACAAATTGAATGAAAGATAAAAAGAATCGCGTTGGAAGGAGCGGACCAGCGAGCGGGTAGCGTGAAAGATAAGCGAACAGAGACCGAATTGGCCTCACCTTTCCACGCGTTTTCCTTCGCTCTACGGAAAAGGGTGTGCGGGCAGCTGGCGCTTAACGGAGGATTTCCCTGGAAATTTATGTCCGGATCGAGCGCAGCCGCGCCACGCTACAACCATACAACACCACACCATGCCACGCCTCACCTTGTCGATTTACAACCTTTCCGTTCACCTGTGTAGACTTTCGAACGCGCATAAGTACAGCAACTTTGTTTCAGCTGGAGAAATTCCCAAACTATGCCTTATCGAGAACGCTACCGTGACTCTCGATCAACCAGCAGAACGGATTCTTCGATTTATCGAACGGGGCCGCGAGAAAAGTAACGTCGTATCGAGGAAATTCTTGATATTTCTACACGACTTTCCACTCGAACTTCTATCTGGGACATTTTTATCGAGATCCGAGTATCCGAGTTGAAGCGCGCTCCCTCGTGTAATAAGCTGGACACGGGAGGCTCGAAACAAAATTACAACGAAATGGATCCTTAGACTTTAGCCCTTTCCTTACTTCCTACATCGAAGTTAAGCCCTTCGCTGTTCTTCCTTCGTTTCTATGTTAATTCGAGTCGACTAATAAATTCTGAAAATTACTCGGATGTAATAGAAACGCTCGTCGTCTCGTGGATTTATTAACGCCCTAAGGAAAACACAGAGCAGTTCTTGTTAAATTAATTTCGACCGCTTAGGCGACAACGACTAGAATAGCTTAATTCGAAGAAAGTTCTATTCTGTTTCTCGCACAGTCAGATCTATCCGAATACATACTTTAAGTAGACTTTAACTAGCTACCTAGATAGCCTTATCAACAAGTCCGCTAACAAATCCCTTTCTCTCTCTCCCTACAACTACACCAGTGTAGTGTTAAACAGCTGAATATTTGATAAATCGTTTCGCTTAACGAACAGGAGTGTGTTCAGGTCATTGGACAATGATCCAGAACTCGCAGCAGCGGCAAACGAATTTATTATTCACGATTTTATTCGATGTTCGGGTACATTGTTTCCAAGGATCGATGAGGTTCGTCTAGCTCGTGATCGACGCAGTTCCCCAGGCTCCATGGCGAATTCAATCGAACGGAGGCACGTCGAACCACTGGTACTCCTTCGGTTGGCTGGTGTCCAGTTCGTACTCCAAACAAGTCTTCATACTGTTGGGGATCATTAAAGTTGTCCGCTTGAAACGACTCAAGCTCGAAATCAAGCTTGCACGAAGGGATCGTGAAGCTGATAACTGCGTTTAATGTCGCGTTTAACGAGTTAGACTTACAATATGCCGGTCTCGCGTTTGCATTCCACGATCGGATAATCCTCGCGGAAGCACCGAGTGCCTAATCGGGTGAAGTATATATATCCTATTTTATGACCTATGCCATCCTCCGATTTAGAAAGACAATCATAAAATTTCTCGTCGCACGCGCAATCTAACCTGTTAAACAAATTGTCTACTGTCACTTTCCTTTGTTAACGAACAACATCTTATATTCTGGTTCCCTCTACGCATCTTTCCAAACGATTAATATCACATTCAGAGCTTTGTGATTTATGGCACAGCCTAGTAGCATATAACTAACGCGAATTACGCCTAATCGCGCGCTATTTCTCACCGAACGTTGGACACTAAGACAGGGAAAAAATTCTGTGTGGGCGTTCACGCGAACCTGACATTACCGCGATCGTTAACGTTCCGCCTCGAAACGGTCGCGTGTTACGACAAAAGTTGCTGTACGTTCAAAGGCCTGCACGCGGTTGCGTCAGACTTGAAAACCACCGACCCCTTTCGCTGGAACAGAGAGGGTGTATCGAGCGAGGTGAAAGGCGTTTATCGAAGAAACAAATAGTTCAACCCTTTCGAAAACTGTTTGGAGTATGCGTTGAAGGAACTGAGAAAGAATAAAAATGAATAAAATTTGAAAGAAACCTGGTGTAGAAGGCGGTATTAGTCAATCCGTGTTTACTTTGAAAAGCCTCGATCACGTCGGGGCACATATCGTGGTCCCGGCAGCAGGCGTCTGTCTCGTTATATGTCCCTAGCTCGTTCGGATTCGATGCCTTGCTACCGCTTCCGCACCATAGTGTCCCTGCCGGAAGGAAGTTTCAGAGAACGTGCAAAGCTGCTAACGAACGAGCTGGTCTACGATACCATCTCGATCTTTTCTCACTGCTTATATGCTCCTGTCTACAGATTTTTCTTGCCGTTCTTCCTCTCTTACCTGGGTATATCAGATCTATTCTCTCCGTCACTTCCGGTAAATTGTTGCTGCCGATTCTATTCGCGTCGCTAAGGTACATCGACCATGCGTGAACATAATCGTCGAGACAAAGGCAGAGCACAAGAATCGTGGAAAGTCTCGGAAGCAGCATCGTTCACGTGAAAAGAAGATGAAACGGAACAACGAGAGTTCTGCAAAGCAGCCTCTTCTGAGAAAAAAATGGCGACAAGCACGAGGAAAGCGGTTCCTTCCGGCGCGGGGCGACGCTGTTCGCGGAACGTGCGCACACCTCGTCGTTCCTCCAGTTTATATGAAAAAGCTCGGCCCCCCGTACGACCCAGTTTCGTCGCATCTAATCGTGAAAATTACGGTCGGCGTACGAAATGGGCGACCACCGGGTTCATCGCGATAATCACGCGACAAAATTCGAATCGCGACGCGGGGAAAACAAGTCCGGAAACGGGCTACCTGACGCTCGATCTACCCCCCTCGAACGCGCATAAATTTAACAACTGGTCGTCCAAGTAATTTATGCGTCGGTTAAAAGGGTAAACATCGTGTGCACTGGTGCAGGCGTTTCCATCGGTTTAATAACTTTTCGTGACGCGAAATAAAACGCTTCGATGTTTTATTGCCGCACGCCGCGTCGAGTCACGCAGTTGCCACCGAACGAGTACTTTAATGATCTTCGCCGTGTAAATTGCTCGTTAGTTCGAATAACGGATGAACGGACGAGGGGTGGAGGGTGAAACGGTTCGTCGTATCGGGCTTCTGATAAATACACGCGTCCAAGCAACACGTGTCTCTTTTGGACGTCGTTCTTTTACGCGAGAAATTCAAGAGACGACAAATGGCATCGGCCAGAGTGTACAGTGGTCAGAGTGTTCGGAAAGTAATGATCACGGGTTATAGAGGTGAATCTCTACAGAATACTAAATTAGGACGTTTCCTACCGCTAGAACAATCAAAGCCGATAAAATATGACGAATAACAACGGTTGTTCTGGTGTTAATTTAGTTCACTCTCTGTATAAAGCGACGACGACGAGAAACAAATAAAACACGACTCTTTTGCAGCGAACGTCAAAGGATTTTCGAGAACAGAATGTTCCTGCTCAACGTTCAAAGATGTCAGATATTTACTGCGCCGAGCAAATTAAAATTCCGCCTACGTTTGCGCATATTTTGAAATTGTACGCAAAGGCAGCAATTCGTACGCAACCCTATGATCTTCTGCAGTGGACGTGTGCTTATTTCCATGCCCTCGCGAACAACGAGGTGCCTCCTGTGAAGGCAAGTATACAGAAAATCAAGAAATTCTCTTTCAAATCTAAAGGGGTTGCGAAGATTAGGGATTAACCTTTTTTGTCGCGGACGACGTATAGCTTATTTATCGAGTTTCAGGCGATTGATTTGAGATTGATATGCGATTAATTACACAATAGAGGTCGCAACAAAGGATTGAAACGTCTCTTTAGAAGGTCTTCTGAACTGCATAACCCGTTTGGCATAAAGTCGTGTAGAAAATTCGCCTGACACGTTCAGTCCCGCGGTCCTTTGTCTCGAGCGTATCGCTGACGTGTCTTTTTCCGCGTCCCTATTATCTTACAAAGGGTTGATTAAAGTCGGTAAATTAAAGCGTAGCTCACTTACTTGACTTTGTTCTCTCGTTCGAGTGTCGTCGTTAACCGTAATCTTTTCTATTGCTTCCATTGTACGTTCTATATATTTTATCTGCTTCCATTGCTGGGCCCGTAATTAAGTGGACAGATAAGTGAATAAATCCACTGACTGAATTTAATTATTCAAGCATCGGGTTAATGGCGTTGGTCAGCTTACGTCTTCGAGTCCGTTTAATCGGACTTGGTCAATCGATGCTACTCGATTCGACACCGTAAATGTATCGAATAAATTGCACGAGTCTCGAAGAAACGGTTTCTACCGTACGATTTTCGAAGGTGATTAAGAATTTCGCACCTGGAACCCAATTAATTTTCAACGATTCCCGGGCGTACCATCGTGCAACCAACTCGAAACGTAGCCGGACCGCAAACGGCACGGTTAACGGACCAAACTAGAGGAAAACGATTAAATCGGTTAATTGAACCGATCGCAATAAATTAATTCGTTCGATCCGAATGGATATCGTGTATCGTTTTTGGTGAGACCTTTCCTTGCTACCTTGATACATTATGAACCAGGAGATTCGAGAGCCTTGAACTATCGGATTCTCCTATTTTTCTAGCTGCTCTCTCGAAGGATTTTTCATTCGCTGGAACAGCGGAAGCAACCTCGAACCGACGTAAAACGCTTGTCCGTGACCCGATACGATACATAGACGAAGGATTGTAAGGGCGAGACTGTCGGCGATATTTTTCTATGCTCCGCTTCGATATCCAGATCGCTCTCGTTTCAAATAAACCGTGTAGACACGCTGACTAACGCTACGAAAACGACGACGATGTTTTGAGAAGGGTACGGTCGATGAAATCTTCAATTTCACCCTTTGCGAACCAAATTTTCTACGTAAAATATTGTTACAAGTAAAAGCTTTATCAGTTAATTCAAGCTGAGACTATTGAGAATCGAGCACAAAGTTAAAACCAATAAACTTAACGTCATTAAATCGCTGAACGTTATATATGACCTAACGTGCGGCGATCGAAAGAATCGCTGACCATGAATTGTCAGCCTACCTTTATTTCCATAGGAACGATTGGAGTACCCTCCCTTCACTCACCCTTCGGGTATCACCCCTGGCTACCTGAGGACCCTTTTGAACGCGTTCGGTCGCGTGGAGAAAATCTGCCTGACGAGTTTGCTGTTGAGGTGGCAAGGCATTGCACTATCCGAAGCAATCCTCTTCCAGATTTTATCGGTGGGCAAATTTTTACCAGCTAGGGAATGCCACTTTTACAAATTCCTCGCGATCGCTTGCGGATTCCTCGGCAAGGTAAGCTGTCTGCCTCGAAAATAGAAACTCTGTCGCGTGAAATACCGAAAATAGAACGAGTCTATATGTACGCTCTTCGTTGCCCTTCACGGCTGATCTTTATCGTATCCTAGCAAACGATATTTTTAGAAAGTTCTACTAATCTATTCTAAAGCAAGATCGATAAAGGAGAAGTACGTTTTGTCGCTGCGAACGTGTGAACAGGAGATGGCATAAGCGGCAACATTTTTTGCCGTTGTAAACGATTAGTCGAGGTCGAGACAGCAAAATCGTGTGGTATTCTAAACAATGATCCCCCTCGACGTTCTCTGTCTGCAAGAATTCGATCGTTGAAAGCGTAACAGATGGAAACAATTCGCTCTTTGTTCGGGACCGCTCCGATTTACAACGGGTCACCAGCGAGACAAAACATTCTCCTAATTGATCTCTTTTTGTCACCGGTCGGAAAGAACGTTTTGTTTGCCGCCTTGTTGGCATCACAATGCTGTATCAAATATAAACGAAACGTATTATTAAACTATATTAGTCTGTAAATGCATTGATTCAAGAAAGATTATCACAGACAATCTCGTTTACATTTGATTCGCAGCTCGTGCCTCAACGTTCCTCCGGGATGTATTTAATTCATGAACTCGTAATAGGAATCGATGAATCATCGTTACCGGTTGAATTAAATTAATCACCGGCCATTGTTGCCAGCTACGAATCGTCCGCCAATTCACATGCACCCCTTTGTACCACATTTCGCACAGAATCTGCTCGAAACGATGGTGTACGTGTGCGAATTGCTGACGGAAGAGCCAAAAGGTGGTTCCGCGATGATACCTCTGTTGACCTTCCTCGACTTGTACGTGTTCCTGGCCGAACTGGATTGCAGTGGTGAATGTACCTGCGCGGCCGAGGATCGGAAGGACACGGAGCAACTTTTTCGCCCTTGCGGACCGAGTACCGATTCCGACCAGACCAGCACGCTGGATTCGAAATTATTCCAGGTGTCGTCCACCACGGTGGAAGAGGTAGATACATTCTTTTTTCGCTAAAAATGGCTAAGAAACCGTGGAGGTAAGGGTAATAGCGGATTCGCGATGGGGTGTTTGATAGGGTGATCGATACAGATTCGATTTCACTTATCTTTCATAGGCTCGTAAAATTTAGTGGCTCGTCTATAAGAAAATGACAACGACGGGAAAAAATTAATGGTATTTCTAAATTTTGCATGACACCCGGTATACGAGAGTTATTACTTTCGCGTGTAAACCGTGTCCTAAATTCTGAGGAAACGTCGGATATTCAGCCTTCCGGAAGCCTCTAATAGTGGTCGAAGGAAAAAAAATTAAAATTAACGAGTTTTCCAGTGAGAGAAAAGCCAGCCACCGTGTTTACCCGAGTAATGAAATTAGTATCCTCATTAGTAGCCTCGGGTTGTTACGTGATGGACCGGTGTAGTCGAGGTTGGCAACGAAAGGGTTAAAAAGAGGAAAATCGTAGGCGACCACGAGCGATTTACCCCGGTATTATTGACCGTGTTAGCTTATTCAAAGTGGCGAATGATTTTTCGAGCTATTCCAGCTTGTCCAACGATTAATGGAACGGAAAAGGCTGTGCGAGGACTCGCGTCGAGTGCTCTCATCCTGGCGATGGCCAAATATAATTTCGTTAATAACGCACCGATGCAAATGGAATCGCGCGCAATCGAAACACAGAAGGGTTGGGTGGGGGGGGGGGGAGAGCAGGAAATAATTACTGGATGCGTCGAACGCGCTATTTTCCGCGTTCCAGCGCGATGCAAACCCGCTTTAGAGCGTACACTAGGAAACGGGAACGCGATGGACAAATTTACAGAAGACCGTTTCGATTGTAGCATATTCTAACGGCGAGATTGGTCGACTCTGTTAGAATCGATCGAGCAACGTGCCGATTCTGACGGCGGACGAAAACATCGATTACCTGGGAATTAACCCTCTGATTACCGAAGGCACGAAACCCGTATATATACGTTTAGCACAGAGTTAATGCTTTCACCTTTTCAATCGAGCTATCAATCAGGCGGAAGACACCGGTCAGCAGGATATTTGCGGGTTTACCGCCAGCCAAGACAGTCGATCAACGGAGACATTGCAAGTTCTTAAAGAATTCGGAGTTGACGCGAGGACCTCGGAAATTGATGTACTGTATCAGGAAAAGGAAAAGGAACAGCAACAGCTTCCTCGGGAGGAAGAGAAGATCGAAGCTGACATGATCGATCATACAGAACACGAAGAGAAAAAGGAGGTTCGTAAACGAACAGAACGTATATGTATAGTCTCGCCAAAACGTTTTTGAAACATCCTATGCAAACTACAAGATTGAATCTCTGGTTCTCTATGTTCGAGGAACGCTAAAAATATAATCCCTTTTAATTTCGCTGGAAACGAGTTGGTCGTTTGCTCGTCGCTCGTTATAATTTTTCTTTGGCACAGTAAACGGTAATCGTCGCTTCCAAACCGAAAGGCTGTTTACCTACACCAGCCCCGGCAAAAGTTAATCACGTTCGGGCGAGCAATTTCTCTCCCACGTTCCTCTATAAAACGTTGAATATTTCAGTCAGTTCAGCCGGAAATCAGCCCGACAGAAGAAAAACGCGAAAGCATGCAGCACGCTGATCATACCGGTCGTGCATCAGCTATCACTGAAAGCATCGCTGATCAACAGGACACTCCTGATTTTCCATTCTTCGACATGGACGATGTCTACGACAGAGACGAGGAACCGTCCTCCTTCGGCGAGGAGGGAAGCGTAGAAGAATCGATGTCCCTTCAACGGCTGGACGACGATTACAAGTCCATCGGCCTCAGAAATATTCTTGAAGGTATTTGCGAGTGTCTGGAGCCGGTTCCAGAAACGGTACGCACCCCTACGCCACCTCCACCACCCGACCCTTTCGAAGAGTTTTTGAAAAGAATGAAAACTGAAATAGAGGAAGATCGTCTTCAAATGTTTTTTCGAGTGCCTGGGATCGGTCGACCGGTGTCCGCGAATCGTGTCACGGCTGTTGGAATATGGCTGGCGGATTGTGGTCGTCGTCAAGAAGGGATGGTCGGACCGCGGAACATCACGCACTTTCTTTGCCCGGAACTTGAGGATACTCGTGATAATAGCGTGTCCACTAATATGACAATTTGAAGCTTCATGCAAAAGTGTACATCTTCCATGGGACAACAACTATTTTGGGATATAAGCGGTTGAAAATTGGATTTTCATTACCTTCGAAGACTTCGGTGTCTTAATTAACTTTTCGAAGAATCGCCTATCTAAACGATGCTTATTACTTTTGCAACGTCCTGTACGCACGCTTTACTCGCTGCACTTGCACGGATCTCGTTCGGGTGCATAATGAATCAGTGGCGTTCGACTCTCCCAGAGAGTGGATGGTTGCAACCCCCTGCAACGCGTATTTTCTCCTCTCTCTCTCTCTCTCTCTCTCTCTCTCTCTCTCTCTCTCTCTGTTTGGCCGGTTCCGTCGAGGGCACGAGACCCATGATAAAGTCGTCCTTCTCCCACCGGCTGACTAACTCCACCGTAATGGCCGGGAATAGTTTCCAATCGATCGATCGGGACGAGTGCCTCTTCAGTCGGCGTCGAGTACGGAAAAAGGACCGCCTCTACACAGACGGCGACACCACACCGTCCGGAATATATACGACACCGACGTTCCTTCATTTCGTCCGCATGAATATCGAAAGCCGGGCTCGAACGCGACCGGAAGCAATTCCAGCATCCCCCTGGGAATGGCCTTGGCATCGTCGCTACCCAGGATCAACCGCGACCAGCGAATCCATCCAATTCGTCGGCGAATTGGCTAAATAATCAGCGTCATCAAACCTTCGTCCATATTGCCCTTTCACCTCTCTTTGTCAAGAAGATTACCAGTCTCGACCGACTCTGTATTTTCTATTTTCTCTTCTATCGGATCCTTCGGTCTATTATGGAGATTTACTACTTGCTGGATCTACGAGGATGCTCTTTCTTTTTTAGAATCTTTACGAGCTTCTCTGTTGTACTGAATAACAGGTACAAGCTAGTCGGAACTTCGAAGAACTTCGACGTTTATCGTAGGAACAAGTTTAATTGAGCGAAGAAAGATACTTTTCCGTTTAACGTTGAAGCAAAACGAGGGGGAAACGGAGTGAGAATATAGCTAACATGGAGTAATTGCTGTTTCCTTATGAAGCAAGCATTATGATAGTGATTCGTGTTCAGAAACACTTGAAAAAATCTGATTATTAGATGTTACATTGCTACAATGTTAAATTTTATTTTGTGGAAATAAAGAAGTGTACATGTTTTGTAATATCACGTGTAGATTACTTCATTTCATGTTACCTACCATTAAACGTTATCATTTATGCCGCATATATAATGAACGCGATAATAGCAGATAAATAGTGAATGAGAAACGTGTTTGTTTGAGTGTAAAAAATAGAAATTACTTGGCGTGCTGATAAACCGGATATGGTAAAAGCTGTCGAAATTCACAGATTTGTATAAAGAAACAAACTTTCCTTTAACGTGTTTTACGAGTTTGTGTTGTATAGCTATAATTCAATGATACCTTGTACACTGAACCAATGGCAATTTTCGCTGAAAAAGGTATTGTACGCCTGTCAATTTCACAGCAACCACCTTGTGTCGGTTTTTTTTTTGTTTTTTTTTTTTTTTTTGAAGCGGGGAGACTTGACGAAACACAATACACACAGAAAATGTAGCTTGTTCCCACTCGTGATTTCTCACCCGCTATGCAATAAAAGTACGAACAGCCTGTAGCCAAGTTTGAAGTGCGCCTGGGAGACACGTGTTGAATTTTAGGACATTTGTTGGCCAGGTGAACAGCATTAAAACTCTCGCTTTCGAAATCCCATCAACATTCTATACGAATCAACGCGTTTCTACCAAATCGTGTCTTTACAAGTAGTTTCTTTTCAAAGACGATTCGGAGCAATTAATTAAAACAGAGTCCCGTTGAAATCGAAGACTCGTTTAAAGAGATAGGCAGGAAATACGAAGGAACGAAACGTCATCGACGAAGAAGTTTTAATTAAAAATGTTTAACGAAACGGCAAGCTAGAAGTAGTGATGTTAAAAGTCTGAGGAAATTCTCTGAATCGTAACTTTTATTTGCCTGGTCGTTCGTTAGGTTGATTATCATGATATAAATTATGAGACGAAGTGAAAGAGAGAGAAAGCTGGCGCTTGCAATTCTCATCACGTAATACGTCATTGCGCACGAAAGTTTAAGCTAAAAGCACACCCCATAAATATGCGTAAGTTACTGGTATACAAAGACCTCGAGACGTTATAAAAAAGTATTTCATCGACGAATAGAGATGATTGATCGATAAAGTCTTGGGTGGTGGGACGACGCGGTGATTTATAAGAAGTTAAGTACCCATCAAAGGGTTCGTGACGGTCACGAGAAGATTGATAATCCAGGGCAAGAAGGAAGCATAAAGATAAATCACTGATAGCTGTAATGACGGCTGATAGACGCGGCTTGTCGAACGTGGAATTAAGAAGTCTTCTTTTCTAAAGAATTACTCGTGTAATTAGCTCGACGGACAGAGGCAAACTACTTAAATTGTCGTACTGTCACACTAATTTCCCACAGTTTGCAACCACAACCTCAAGAGCTATTTTCACCTCTTTGGTGTACCTTAGGATCAATAAAAAAAACATGATCAATATTCATGAAGGCAGATGATAGTAAAACTTGAGGGAAATCTGCGTGCGTCAAGCCCGTAAAATTCCTCGTAAGTGGAGGAATATTTCTGGGAGCCAGTACAGGTACTTCCGGCGCTTAGGTAGCACGGAATACCTGGTTACGCAGACGCGTCGGTACACCTTGCTACCGGCACGAGGTGCTAGCGGTGTAGCGTCGATGAATACCCCCGAGTAGCAACGCATTATGTATGTCCGTATAGTAGTTACGTGACCAGGAAACGAAAATAGATGCACCCGCCCATTTTCCGTCACGCCAACTTGTGCACGCGGTCGCGGGATAAACCTGCGGACTACGCTTTCTCAGCGATGATAATTTCTTGCCCGGAAACAGAGGAAATCGATGAATATAAATCGATGTCGATTAATTCAGACCTGCTTAAAAGTCATACTCCTATTTTCATTCGGTACTCGGAATTCATCGCGAAATTGCGAAATTGCGAAATAAACTAAGTAAGAACAAAGATAACGCGAAGCTTTCAAAGTGTATCGACGCGTGAACGCAGGAAAAAGTTGGGAACGGAAGGAGGTTTTGGATGGAGCATCGAGTGGCATCTCGAAGGTGGATGGATCTCGAGCCGGCATTAGCGGGATTCAATTAAACTCCTTCACTTAACTCCTTAAACGTGAAAGATGATTCTCAACGACGACAAGCATCGTAACGAATACCAGGAAATATTCGTGAAGAGCGAAGGGAAATCTGTGCTTTCAAAGATATACATCTCCGAATATCTATCTCGACGTCGCGTGCAATTTCCAAGAGTTTTCATATTTTAAAACCACCGCTCAGAGACCGTATTTTTCCACAAACCTTTCGAAAGTAAAAGACTTCTTTCCTACACGCTCGAGGGGCCGTCCCGCGTGCCGAAGCAACGAATTCTAAATGTTGTAGCGTTTCGCGCAAACATCCGAAACGTTTGTCTTCGGAGACTTAGGGGAGAAGGCGAGAGAAATTATGTAATAACTGTGTTGCTAGGAAATGCGGGCGACGTTGGTAATTCTACTTGAACGTATAATGATACAAGAGGAAGCCGAGACTCGTCAAACTAAACCGGGGGACTAAAAGGGACTTAACCCTCAAGTGCATAATTCATAACACATTAGAGTCGGAACGCTGCTGCACGATCTTGGCGCGAGCATTAAGCAGCCCTTACGTAATGTCGTTCAATTAAACAGACAGAGAGGAAAAATCCTACGTCTCTGTACATCGCAAAATTGTACATACTAAAAATTGCTACTGCTAAAAGATAAATAGAGAAATATTCGTAACGCGTGTAGCACGGAAACGGTCGAAACGTCACCGCGCATACGATGATTACGCTCAGCTCCGCTTCGAATATTTCCGAGCAACGTGCAGGCAACGTGGCCCAATAAAATTGCAAACTGTAATTTCGTTACTCTTTCCAGCCCGCAGCTTTCCGGCGTTTTCTTTTGATCATACAACGAGGAAAACGAGATTACCGTTTTACATTGTACGCTCCAGCCCGGCCTCGAGAGCTCTTCGAGGAAATTTCTCCCTGGTGTCCAAGAAACGAACCCTTCCGTTTAACATCGTGAGATCCATTTTAACTGGCCGCAGACAAATCAGCGTGCCGAGAAATCCACTTGTACGCGTACCACAGGCGAGACGGATGAAAGGCGTCGCGAAAAATACGGGCGAAAATCTATCTCGATAAACGAATCGACGTGGTGGTCGGTGAAAGGGGTAGGAAAAAGGGAGAGAAAAGAGCCGAAGAATTTCAGTGGCATTATCCTTGCTTGCCGGTCGCATCCGATAATTACTCGTCTTTCTTTGGGGGGATGGAGCAGAAGGTCAACAGGATGAAATCAAGCGGAATTCTGGCGTGGTTCGATCAAACGATTAGATCGCGCCCGAGACACAAAGAAGAAGAAGAAGAAGAGGATGAGGAAAGCTTCGACGAGACGAGACGAAGGGTGACATGGTAGCCACCGTCGTCGTCGTCGTCGTCGTCGTCGTCGTCGTCGTCTTCTTAGAGAGCAAAGAAAGGAAGTACAGTCGAATCGAGAGGAGCGGGGTCGAGTATCGATTAGGTTGGTATAGGTAGAACGGAGGCGAAGTCACCAAGATACCAAGAGAAAGAGAGGCGATAGAGAAGGTGGTGCCGGCAGCGGCGGTGGCGGCTGCGACGCCGCCGAGGATCGATCGTCGCCTCTGCCCCGGCCGAAACAAATAAAACCGTAACGAATGCTCCCGTGACCGGTTTCCAGCAGACCCTCGTGCGTTTTTACCCGTGCTAAATCGCGCTTCCCTCGCCAATCTACCGATCGATGCGAGATCAGGGGTGAAGAGGAAATTTTCAGCTACAGTAGAAACGACTAAAACCGCCAGCATGAACCACTCGGGACAGTAACATCACTCCACTAGGGGCAATGAAAAGAAAAGATTTGCGGTAGGACCAAGGGGTGATCGAAAGCAACGATTTCTATGTTGCTTTAACCTATTTCCTCTTCTGCTTCGTCATCTTCGTACATTACGAGGCACGCTTCGTGTTTCCGGAAAGTTGAGCGCGCATCGCCATGAGGGATAATGATGAAGAGCGTGCAGGAGGACACGTCATCGATCAAGCCTGCACACGGTGTGCGAAAGCTTATGGACTCCATAATATAGACGATGCACAAACGGATGCACTAAAGCGAACGTTCAACATGGACAGTAGGGCAGAGATAATAATTCAGTCAGCCGCGGCCGAACTGTCACAATTTCGAAGTTTAATTTCAAGAACCAATAAAGCCTGGAATGATAACAATAAGAGTGATAGAGAAAGAGAAAGAGGAAGCGATAAAGTTTAAAACGTTTAAATGGATCGAAGGGTAGAGACGCCTCCGCTGTGCGGAAACGATTGATAAATTGGATATACGTTCTGATTGGAATGATTGTAGTCCAGGGAATGCTATATCCGAGCTAACTTATTGACTATAATACTCATAATGAAACCGATAATGAAAAGGCAATATGGAATATCGAAAAAAAATTACACGACCAATTTGAAGTATCAAACGGAAGCGTTTAATTAAAAAATTCATCCCTAATATCCTGAAGAATCTTTGCTACGTTGTAAAAGCGCAAAGGTTCGCGATCGATTACAAGAAGTTTCAATTTAGTAGAACCTCTTAAAGTTATAACACCAATAACGTGTACCCTGAAGTGGCACTTTCGATACGAAACGAATTGATGGAACATTTATTGAAAAATTATTGAACATTCTACTTAATTGAACCGTCTGTATCCGGCACTCTTGATAGGTGGGCAATCACCTCCGTAAAGTATTCCGATTCGACTTTCTCCGCCATAATAGTTGGAACACACAAGTGTACGTTTTAGCAGAGAAACGACAGCAATAATACGACGTTGGAAACTATTAATCGATCATCATGGAGGCTCCAGGCGAATGGGCAAGAGCACCATTCCAATGCCAGCTCATACGGTCGAGCGGTCGTTTTACGCTAAGGTTGGCAGATCGGCTTGGCAAAATGCAGGTTATTCAATCGTGTCGCGATCGATGCGATTTTACGTTGCTCCCGTCTCTCTCTCTGTTTCGATT